ATGTTACACTCGCGAAGCCAAACCGGCAAATGACTTAAACAGCCTCGCGGCGGCCCTTATATAGCCGCCGATCGGCCGAAGTCCGACGGAAATTTCCGAAATTTACCGATCCATTAATTATTATTTTTCCGCGCTAATAGCCAGTAATTTATTAATTTTTTTATTGTTACTGTAATTCTACATTGCGCACAATTTATTATTAACAATATTAATTTGTTATTAACAATAATTGTAATGATTTATAAACTTTTTGTAAATTATAAGTACATTTTAATAAAAGTATACGTTATAAGTTCAAGTAATAGCCAATAATTTATTAATTTTTTCTCTTCTATTATTAATTTACATTGTGAACAATTTGTTATTAATAATAAATTTGATAATTTATACATTTTTTATAAACATTTCCTTATACAATTCGATTATAGAGAAATTTCTTATAATTTCTGATTGGTCTAAAGAAGTAGATGAAAACATATTCATGTGGTACATATTATATAAAACATATAAAATATACATATAAAACATAAATATTATAAAAAATTAGATCTACTGGAAGGTGATTTTGGTGTCTATCACGCGTGACTACGGCCCTGATGAAGCCAGAGAGCGCCAACTATGGCTGCGTGGCGGCAAAATCTCGCTTATGGATCGCCGATATATGTTTTATTGTTTTGCAAATATTGAACATCATTCCGATATTGTTTTTTGAAGGTTTCTTCTTCAGAAAAGTCTACAGAATACGCCACTGTAAAGCAAATTCCTGCCAGATGATGAACCTTTTGTAGAAACGCAAGAATATGTGCAGAAAATACGCTGAGAGGCTTATTTTTAAACTTTGATGACCAATTATAATAATTCAGAAGCACGAATAATTATAATTATGGACATTGATAAACTCGGGATGCTCTCGCCTAACTTTTAAAATAACAATGAACCTCCTAACATTTTTACTTTTTATGTAATAATTCAATTTACCCAAAAATCGTGCCTTCTTAGAAAAGCTCGCGTTTTTCGAAAACTGAGGATGCTGGAGCAATTTCGATTATAGATTCCTGCTCAGGAAAGTAAACTTTAAATGAAATGAATGTTCAGATCAGAGAACAGGTTAAAATTTATTGGACAGTATAATTAACGAGTTCAAAAGGAAGTAATTAGCGTTTCAACTTTCGCCTGGTTTGGAGTACTGATTTCTCGTACATCGAAAAAATTTTGCAGAATAAATGAGTTCAGGATGAGAATAAAATACAGGAAGTATTTTTACTTCTAAATATAAAAGTATTTTTAATATAAATTCGTAATTTCTCTTTAATAATATCGTTGAACGGATTCATATTATTACCAGAAATAAACGAAAAAATAAATCTGAAAGAAAAAAATTATTCGAACCTGAAAAATGAAAAAATAATTAAAACCTGAAAGAAAATTAATTCAGTCTGAAAATAAAAATTATTAACAATCCAACGATGAGATATCAACAAACCAACAATGAAATATAAACGACCCAACGATGAGACATATATAACCTAACGATGAGACATTCGAATATTATACGAAATATTCGAATTCTCAAATAAAAATAAATAAAACGAAAAAATAAATCTGGAAGAAGAAAAAAATAATTAATACCTGTAAAAGGAAAAAAAATTAAAACCTGAAAACAAAAAGAGATTATTTAAAAAGGTGGGGTGTGGGTGGGGTAGCCAACCCCAACCTCACTTCGGCCCCCACCACTTCGCGCACACGCAAGAATTTATATGTTACACTCGCGAAGCCAAACCGGCAAATGACTTAAACAGCCTCGCGGCGGCCCTTATATAGCCGCCGATCGGCCGAAGTCCGACGGAAATTTCCGAAATTTACCGATCCATTAATTATTATTTTTCCGCGCTAATAGCCAGTAATTTATTAATTTTTTTATTGTTACTGTAATTCTACATTGCGCACAATTTATTATTAACAATATTAATTTGTTATTAACAATAATTGTAATGATTTATAAACTTTTTGTAAATTATAAGTACATTTTAATAAAAGTATACGTTATAAGTTCAAGTAATAGCCAATAATTTATTAATTTTTTCTCTTCTATTATTAATTTACATTGTGAACAATTTGTTATTAATAATAAATTTGATAATTTATACATTTTTTATAAACATTTCCTTATACAATTCGATTATAGAGAAATTTCTTATAATTTCTGATTGGTCTAAAGAAGTAGATGAAAACATATTCATGTGGTACATATTATATAAAACATATAAAATATACATATAAAACATAAATATTATAAAAAATTAGATCTACTGGAAGGTGATTTTGGTGTCTATCACGCGTGACTACGGCCCTGATGAAGCCAGAGAGCGCCAACTATGGCTGCGTGGCGGCAAAATCTCGCTTATGGATCGCCGATATATGTTTTATTGTTTTGCAAATATTGAACATCATTCCGATATTGTTTTTTGAAGGTTTCTTCTTCAGAAAAGTCTACAGAATACGCCACTGTAAAGCAAATTCCTGCCAGATGATGAACCTTTTGTAGAAACGCAAGAATATGTGCAGAAAATACGCTGAGAGGCTTATTTTTAAACTTTGATGACCAATTATAATAATTCAGAAGCACGAATAATTATAATTATGGACATTGATAAACTCGGGATGCTCTCGCCTAACTTTTAAAATAACAATGAACCTCCTAACATTTTTACTTTTTATGTAATAATTCAATTTACCCAAAAATCGTGCCTTCTTAGAAAAGCTCGCGTTTTTCGAAAACTGAGGATGCTGGAGCAATTTCGATTATAGATTCCTGCTCAGGAAAGTAAACTTTAAATGAAATGAATGTTCAGATCAGAGAACAGGTTAAAATTTATTGGACAGTATAATTAACGAGTTCAAAAGGAAGTAATTAGCGTTTCAACTTTCGCCTGGTTTGGAGTACTGATTTCTCGTACATCGAAAAAATTTTGCAGAATAAATGAGTTCAGGATGAGAATAAAATACAGGAAGTATTTTTACTTCTAAATATAAAAGTATTTTTAATATAAATTCGTAATTTCTCTTTAATAATATCGTTGAACGGATTCATATTATTACCAGAAAATAATAATTCACTCGAAAATCTCATCAGGTATTAAAACGACTAAAAGCGATGCAAATTAATTTGTACTACCCTCTTATCGAAACGTTTCTCCGTACATAACCTCATTTCAAATATCTCGCTGGCTCGACGTATCAGTCAACGAGTAGCCCATAATAAATCAAATCATGATAAATCAAAACTGAACTGTCGGCAGGCGCACTTCAAATCCCTAGTCCCAATGCTCCTAACTTCTTCTCGCCAGTGTACCACAATAGCAGCATGACCTAACGATCCATCATAGCCATTAAACTCGCAAATTAACCAACCGAGATTATAAAATTTTCCAGCATCCACGTCACACACGATGCAACACCTTGACAACGTTCCTTTGGCGTAAAGGAACATGGATTTCATTTGGTTCCTAGGCGTGTCTCTATCGATCTCACTTCACTCCACGAGCCTCTCCTAACTCGGCCGAAGCTGTTCGAGAAAACGGTTTTTCTGTTCCGGAAAACGGTCCGATCGTAAACGTGATATATCGCACGATCCGGGAGACTTGGTGGGAGAAACATTCGTACGGAATCGACACTGTAGGTCGCGTGACGATCGTATCCCCTATACCTCGATGGCGAAGAACGAACGAGACAAAGCCGGCTGATTGTTATTCAAACGGCACAAGCAACCGGTGACTGCCCTTGGCCACACGGAAAGGCGACGCTTCGCAAACGAAACGCTTTAATGCCTGAAAGAGGAGACATAATTGTCGGCTCGCTTCTCCGGGTGTCGTTAAACTCGTTGTGAGCCACTGTCGAGGGTCAATAATCTAACGTTCTTTGGCGCGTCTAACTCTCATGCGTATTTGCCCTATTTTCGTGAAGGACTATGGATCGAATCCTCTTTTATGATTTTTTTCCCCCTTTATCCTTTTTTCTCCCTCTTTTTTCTTTTTTTCTTGAAAGGTGTGAAGGATGATCGTTGGATGACGAAGTATTTTTCTAGGGAGATTTGAAGTTTGGCGGCTGATCGACGGATTTGAGAATGCAAGAGGCGAAAGAGGGGAGAGGAAAGAAAC